CTGTGTGGCTCAGTTGGTTGGAGCATTGTTCTATAACTGAAAGGTTGTGAGTTTGATTTCCGGTCAGGGCACATACCTAGGTTGTGGGTTCAATCCCCAGTCCGGGCACAGGCACATGGGCCCCCCAGTCTGGAAAGGTACAAACCCTGGTCTGAATGCATACAGGAGGCAACCAATTGGTGCTTCTCTCTTGCATCAATGTTTCTCTCTCTCCCTTCCTCTCTAAAAGCAATGAAAAGAATGAAAAAAAAATTAGAGTGGAGAAGGAAAGCTGCTTGTCAGATCCCACTCCAGCTGTGGGCAGTGTGGAACGTGTTCCAGAGCCTCTTCTCTTACATCCACGCATATACAAGTTGACCCTGATACACAGTTGAGTGGATGGATGGCACCTGCAATAGCAAATCGGAAAGCAAATTCCTAATGTGATGAAATGCATCCACAGTAATTAAAGTGGTTCTAGGGAGCAAATGAATCTGTCGTGTTATTACTAGCAAGAGTAGCTTAGTTTCAATGATTTAAAGACCCTCATATAACCAAGGTCACTCCAATAAATTTAATTTAAAAATTAAATCTGTTATTTTAACATCAACCGATGTTCTAATATTGAATCTTTTTTAAATTAACAGAACAAATTGAATTTAGCTAAAAAAAAGTCTGACCTGATGGATGTTCACCAACTTTCAAATGCTTCCCAGTGCAGAGCATTTCCTGTTTACCTGTCTAGATCTGCTCCTGACCCCACGCTTTGCCCCAGGAGGCTGATGCGTGTGAATTACAGCAATGGGCTTCCCTCCACATACTGCCTCTGTTGTGGTTTCTGGAAGCTCTGCCCGCATATCGGAAAGTCATTCATTAAACTCTCCTCCAAGTTGTGTGTGCATTTTTTATTTGCTCGGCTCACACAATCATTTCTTAAAGTTACATTCGGAAGCAAAGCAATTCCACCAGAATCTATTCTATTTGAAATCAATTGTTCCGCAGAGTCTAGACTGAAGTTATTGTAATACTTCTTTGGCTTTGCCCTTGACATTTTTCAATAAATAGGTAATCTCTCCTAAGCTTTATCCTACAGAGCTCTGAGGTCTCAGTTGAGAAGTTTTCTAAATGTTGCCACAGACTCAAAGCCAGTCTGTTTCAAAAGAAATTTAGACCTACAGGGAAGAAGAATAACTCTTCTTTCAGGTGGGAATAATAGTGAGACTTCTATATTTTTACAAGAAAATATCAAGTCTTGATGGTAAAATATGACATAAAACACATTTGAATTTAATTAGCTAGTGTTCCAGTAACTCACTAAATAATTTAATCTTGAAATGACTTTGATCTAGCAAAATCGGTTCAACGTCGTTGAGATTCAGCCATCTCTGTACATAGAACTCCTTCCTATTCCATTCTGTGAATATAAAATTGTATCTTTACATTTCCTTACTGAAGGTATTTAATGTCACTGTTTTACTACAACTACAAGGGACATCTCTGTACACATCTCCTGGCACATCTGCACGAGGCAAGTAATAAGGAAAATACAAAAGGTATCATGTTTCACTTTTCCCAGCTGCATATTCTAATCTGCTTATGAACTGTGAAATCACTTTTGTGTGCTCACCAGTATTATTTCCATTATAAAGTAAAATAGAAAAGACCATGCAATGTATATATTAAGGGCAAGTATTATTTTATGAAATATCATTTTAGCTATATACAAGGTCTCACTCATATAACACCCCATTTTTATTACAAAATCCTAAGCATGTAATTCTGTAACATGACAATATCACGCTCAAGCACACCCTATGACATTTTAGGTGAAATGTTCAAATTAAAACTATAAATTATTACACTCATATGATTACCCTGCCAGCCACACTCAAGCAGGCCACACTTCTGCCAGACCCTGTATATACACAAATATATAGACAGGCACATAGGTTTGTATACTGTGCGTGTCATAATGTAAAACATTTTTTCTTAGGATGGGTTACAGACCAAACATCTGAAAACCAACCCATGATATAGACCCAGAAGCAGAATTTCTATACCTCAGAATATGCACATTTTCAGCCTGACTGCTACTGATAGTTTGATGATGAAGCCATTTATGCTTCTATCGATATAAGTAAATTCTTTTTCTTCATATCCTCAAATTTTGATTTTATGACTCCCCACAATCTTATGGATTTAAATATCTTTGTTTCAATTTGCATTTCTCTGATCCTCCAGTGAGGCTGAGGTTTTCATCTGTGAATTGCCTAACATTTATTGTAAATTCTCCCATTACTTTTCTTTCTTATTTTCACTAATTCTTTATATGTTCTGAATAGTAATCCTTGTCTCAAAGAAGTTGTAAATACTTATTCCTATTGCTTTTCTTTTAATTTTGTGGTATGGTTAGTACATAGAAGGAAGTTTTAAATTAGATAGTCACTCCATCCGTGTTTTCTTTTTTAAAAACGATTTATGATTTTTACTTCTTGTCTGAGAAACCAACCTATCCCCCAAGGTCATAAATATATTCTCTTCTATCAGTTTAAAATAGTTGGAAAGTTTTGCATTTTTTTCATTTAGGCCTTTAACTCATTTGGAATTTATTTTTGTTATGGTGAGAGAAAAGAACCTACTTCATTTTCTTTGAGATGGAAACCCAGTTGTTCCCACATCAATAATTGAATAGTTAGCTCTTTTCCCACTGATTCGTCATACTATCTTTAGAAAAACGTTTTGCATGCCTGGTTTCGTGCTGGAGTCTCTGTTATGTTCTGCTGGACACTTCCTTATGGAGGCCCCAAGACTACAGCTTCAGGAGTTTCAGGATATGGGGATTCAAATCTCGTCTGTTTGTTCTTGTTTTTCTGCATTGTCTTGACTATTTTTTCGATGTTCACTTTTCCATATGAATATTGAAATTATTTTGTTAGGCTTTATGTTGAAATCGTGCTCTAGCTTTGTCCTATCTTGTTCTTTGTCTACCTAAACTCTTGCTAAGATTTTAATCAATATGAAAATCTGCTGTCAGCATGGCTGCTGAAACTGACTCAGCAGAGCTGAATGCCTGGACCCCAGTGGGAAGAAACCCACACATCCCATGTCCGGCCTCGCCGCACTCCCGCCTCCCGGACTCCGTCTCTGTCTGATGGAAACGCGGCTGCACCTGGACGCCCAGCCAAAGCACTTTGGGAAATGTGCACTTAGGCTTTAGAGCCTTAGCAGGACAGAGCAGGGAAGAGTGGGTTTCAAACTACGGGCTGCATTCTGTGAGTGGCTCACAGATGGCATTTATAAAATGAAATAAAACAAAATATAAATTGTTAGTAGGCCTACCAAAAATAAGTACTGTTTCATGAAAGTTTTATACACACACACACACACACACACACACACACAGATATATTTAAACATATAATCACATGCCACACAATGATGTTTCGGTCATCAATGGTGGCCCCGTAAGAGTATAGTGGAGCTGAAACATGTCCGTCACCAAGTGACGTCATAGCTGTCAACAGAGAGGAGTGTTCAATGGGCATTATTGGCTGACCGGCAAATCTATGACGGAAAAAAAAGAGACCAAGCAAACTGCCACGGACATGTTTCTGGAAAGAGTAACACCTCCTCGAGAAGAGCCCCAGGTGGGTTTTCCAGGAGGCATTTCCAAAGAAGGCACTGTTATCCCAGGGGATGCCGGCTCCGTCTGTTCCCGCCCCGGTGGGAGGACCTTCCAGCAGGATGAGATGCGGAGGTGGAGCACAGTGACGTCATTGTCCCCGACCCAGTGTAGGCCTGGGACTCAACATGCTGCCTAGAACGGAAAAGCCTTCCAAAAACGTAATTAACACAAAGTACACATATGCACATTCTCTACAATCCACCATTCTTCAACAGTTACTATCAAAAGAAAAAAATCTGTTTTTATAAAAGGCAGAGGAATGAAAAAAAGAATCATTATGAAACTTTGCCAAGGAAAGAAACAAAACTGAGCAACACATCTGACGTGGGCAGCCGACAGCCTGCCCGCCTCAGTGAGGAACATGTGTCCAAACTGTGTGTCCCTCCCCCCTTCTTCCACCCCGAGGTTGGAAAAAAGGATACCCCCGGATGGGATGAATAGAATGCTCATTTATTTAGCCAGGGGCAGAGGGAACCCTCGTGCCAACACAGAGGTAGATTCCTAACTGGTCCTCAGACAGAACAAAGGCAAAACACTGGTTGCCTCGGGGTGTGGGGCCTGTGAGTGATAAAGTGTCTAAATTCTAGTTTCTAAATTTTCTATAGTGGGATGTGTTACTCTTACAATGCAAAGAGAGCTCCAACCAACCCCAAATCACATGTGTGTTAGTTTGCTGTTTTATTATTAATGTCCAAATCATTGAGGAGGAGCCTCTAAGAGTCCTCGTAAATTCTCCTTCTCTTCCACTCCTGGTTGTGGGCAGAGCCTTCATTTCCAGAGAAAGACAAGCCGGATTCCACAGCATGGGGGTCTGGGTCAGGTCTGCCTGGGCTTTACAAAAAAATGATCCTGGGAAGCATTCCATAATTTCCCTGATGGCTAGAAACAGCGATAACTTACTAGTCTGTATGCTGTTTAGGCCCAAGTTCTGGGCATAGCAGAGAGAAATAAAAAGTAGTAGAGATGGCCCCTACTTATGAAGAGTGCAATACGTAATCAGGGGCGTAAAGAACATAAACGTGCTTCAGCAAACACAGAGCCCAACACAGTGTAAACCGAGCGGGCAAAGCGGAAGACAGCAGGGGAGCACTGAAATCGTGGGGTGATGCCTCCACGATTTCCGGAGGCGGTCATGGCCATGTCTTCCTTTTACTCTAATGCAATATCTTTTCCTCTAAGAGATTCGTAGAAATGGGAATTCTGAAAATGCAGACATTTTCCTGGTTGGGAAAGTAACTTAAAGCAAGGCTGACCAAGCCCGCTGACTCCAGGTCAGCGCTCCGACTGGAGAGAACCTTCAGGTTTCGTGGGGAAACAGATCTTTTCAGCACATGACTTTAGGGAACTAAGTATGATTTTTATTTACTTGCAAGTTGTTAGTACTTCATGAAAAACCAAAATTGCCTATGAAATTACTGTGCCTTCCATTTGACTGAACAGGTAGGGACAGATCTCGGATAAGAAGGGTTCAAATTCTTACCCGTTGCCCAAGTTCCGCACTGCACAACACTGAAAACCAGACAGATTGTAATATAGTGGAAGACAATTTTCTTCCTTATTAAAAACGGCACCCTCTCCCCCACAGCCCCAACAGCCACGTGCTCAACATGTCCTTTTTCAAACCGTCCTCTATCTCCATAAAGCTTCGTCATTGACTGGGGACGACTCTGAAGCTATTGCTGGTACTGGAACCTGAGATGGCAATTTTTCGAGAGGTGGACACGAGTGGGAACTGAAGAAATTGCACAATCTGAACGTGGAAGGGAGCTATCGGGGAGTCTCGGCCACACCTCCAACCGAGAAAGCTGCTTGGGAGCCGTGGGCTTTTCCCAGAGGGTGGCCCGTGGGGCGGAAGACGCCTGGAGCTCAGGCCAGCCGGGAGGCTGGGAACCGGGCGGAGCACTCAGGCTTCATCGGGGCGAGGCTGGCGGGTCTGGGGCGCCCACACGCAGCGGTTCTGCTCCGCTCCTACCAACACTGCCTCCAGAGATTCCTGGTGAGGAGCAGCTGGGAAGGGGGGAGATCCAGTGTGGTGGGAAGATGAATCTTAACGGCCTAACCATTCAGTCTTAGGGGTGTTTAGCTCAACCCCCGACAATTGTGAGAAAAAGAATTTTTTTTTTTACATATCCTCCTTTAGGTCATGATGAAGGAAAAGCAACCCAATCAAACTTCTAAGAAGCAAACCAGCTTGCCACTCGGGCACGTGGATTTGAGCTGTCTGGCCAGAGGTCATGATTCTGAGGTAAGCCTGAATGTTCGACCAAGTAACGTCTATGTCCTCAACGCAGGGATGGCCCCGCTCATGAAGTCTCTCCAACTCGCTCCGGGCCAGGGAAAAGTCAGTCTGGGAGCTGAGCTGAGTGCCTTCCCCGCCCGTTCAAGCCCATCCTTCCCCAGCGCTCAGGCTTTCCGGCAGGGCCTGCCTTGGCCAGAGGCACAAACGGCGGTCTGCTGCTTCGGAGGAGGGGTCTGGGGCTTTTCACTTGATCATCTGAGTCTCCTCATGGGCATCGTAAAACTCTTCCTCTTCGCTCTCACTCCCGAAAGCGCCCTCCTTGTCCACGGACTGAAACGGAAGGAGAAGAGGGCGGGAAAGGACGTCATGACGTTTCTGAAATGAAGATTACTATCTAGCACTTAACTGACCAATGTATGTCTATGACATCTAGTCCCCTAAGAATGAGCCCCTAAGGTATTCTGAGAAAGCTAATGAATCATCGACCGTCTTTATTCCTCTGAAAATCAGCTGCCGAAATAAAAGCTCTGAAAATCAGACCCCTACCTTTGTTTTCCAGCAGTTTTGCTCAAATCTGTTTAATCCAACCAGACACACTTTCCCCCTCCCCAAACTATCATCCTCCAAGTGGTAATTCTGAATGACTAAGACAAATACAGCCATACCTGTGGGGTATCCAAGGTCTGTAAAGATAGAGCTTCCTCCCCCAGCCTCCGGTACGAATACACCTGAAGGTCAGAAACCGTCTCTAGCAGAGGAGTGTTGAGGGTTTCTGGCAATAATAAACTCAGGAGGCCCGAGGTCAGGCCCGAGGCTCCAAAGACAATGAAAGGCAAAGACCACTGCACATATTTCTGTGGGGGCAGAGAGCAGAATGGAAACACACAAAAACACAGTATCAGTTTCCATGGAGATGACATCAGCGGTCTGGACTGAGGACCTGCCCTGTTTATAACCCAGTTCATGCCTTCCCACTGGAAGGCACTATAAACCACCTCTTTCCCCAAAGAGAATTACCCTGGGGTATCAGTGGTACCTCGGGCACTCGGATGGGAGCAAGTAAATAACACAGCTGCTGGGGATCCAAGAGGCCTCAGAGCAGCCTGCTGTGTTGGAGGGGGGCGGGGCGTTCATTGTAGGAGGAGCAGGCCAGGCCCCCGTGGTCAGAGTTCACGGGGAACCTGGTGCTCAGCTTCTAGGTGGGCAGCTTATAACACAGGGATTCCCCACAGAGTCTTCACTTGGGAAATGGCCCAAACACTGGCCGATGATGAACTTTAACATTCTCAGCCCTGGCACCAGCCAAACGATCCCGCACAGGCTCAGGGATTCGCTCAGCAGCATTCCCGAGCGGCAGAGGGGTCAGAGGTGCACGCATCCTGAAAAGAACAGGAGACTTGGAAAGCACCCTACATGGACCCGTAGTTGGAAACTACCTGAACGGAGCGTGGTTGAGGGCCAGTCATTCAAGCACTGGCCTCAGAGATCCAAAAGATATTTTCAGGAAAACTTAGTTTCTTTAAATAAAAGCAGGTTCAGAGATAACACAGGAGAAACTGTCCCTGCGGGATGCTGCCCCGGGGCCTTCCTGAGCTGACTCACGTGCTCGAATTCCTGCACGGCAGCTGCTGGGCGTTCCCTCCCTGGGCTGGGCTTCCACACTCTGAGGGCCCCACCACTGCTGGTGAAGGCGGCCCCTTGGGTAATGTGGATGAGTTTGCTGATTTTGCAAAAGTGAAGAGATGATGGAGGAGGAGGAGGAGATGGGGGGGGGGCGGCAGGGGGAGGGGGAACGAGGGCTGGAGAGGGAGGGGGATGGGTGGTGGGAGGAAGATAGTCTCTGACCTCCAGCCACCTCCGGGCACACACGCACTGTGGCTTTCCAAAGAAGGAAAAGCCACGGTGGCATTTGGGAGACGTCCTGTGCTAGGAAGAGGGGAGGAAAGGTGCCAGGGTAGGGACAGTCGTCTGCAGGACAGGCACTCCAGCGCCACACCAAACCTGACTTCTTCCCCCTGAGCTCAGCTGGGACAGCCAGAGCTCGGACCCAGCAGGGACACGCACAGGGGCTCCGCGGGCTGTCACAGCACCTGACGTCTCCTGCAGGGAAGGACTTGCGGGCTGTCATTTAAGTCTAACCCCTTTGCTTTGACTATAAACTTTGGGAAATGGCAAAAAGTTAAGAAACGCACTGCTAGGCACATTTCTCATCTGATCTTCTTTTCTGAGTGGTATCATGCCTTTGGGGAGGGCGTGGCACCTCTCTCTGCTGCATTCTCCTCTGTCACGCAGGGAGACAGCAATGCCTGCCTCCAAGGTTGCTGTGCAGACTGCATGGGGTTATATACGGAAAGAGTTTAGCTCAGAGCCCAGCACACAGCAGACACTTAATGAATATTTGCTCATTAACTTGTGAAGAGGGGGAAGGAAGGGACAAGCTGGCCTCAGCTGAGCCTCCAATGAAGGCAGAGGGCAGAGAGTCAGAGCCCGCGGGGAGGGAGCGGTCACAACGTCCTCGGTCGGGGTCCATCCGCGCCCACAGACCCTCCATCTGAAAGGGTCCTTAGCTTCCAGGGCCCAAGCGTTTCCAAAGCAGAGAGTCGTGGAAAACAATGCGAGGAAATACAAACCAACCAGTGAGGGGACGAAGGGGGCGAGAATCCCGCCGACTCGGGAGAACATGGAGCACGTTCCAAGCCCGACGTTCCTGAAAGGCATCAAGAGCTTTTACAAAATCAGTGAGTTCCGGGGGCCCCACTGAACGACCTCGGGGGGCGGGGGGCCCAGCACAACAGAACCCGAAGGGAAGGTGCAGGACCCCCCAGAGCAGCGCTGCCTCCTGAACTTCCTGTGACGCTGAGAAGGTGCCCCCACATGGGAGCCACCAGACATGCAGCGACTGAGCTCGGAATGGGGTGGGGAACTGAGTTTTGGACTTGTTTTGTTTAAATTAATTTAAATTTCGACTGCCATGCGAGGCTACTACCTACCCTGCTGGGCAGGTTAGTTATAGAGGCGGGTGCAGAACTGAGCATGTGGCTGTTCCCTGTCCAACGTGCTTTCATGGGTTCGGGGACCTTGCATCTCCTGCCAGTTAGTATAGCCACAGAGAGCCAGAGCTTCAGGATCTGAAAAGTCTGTCCCTTCATCTAAACTCTAATCGACTACTAAACCGTTGGGCATATCAGCAGGAGTGGACTGAGCATGTTTTCACAGGAAACCAAGAACATCACCTTCCTGCGGAGTGTGGGCATGAAAGAGGTGGGAGGAAGTGAGCATTTCGATAATGGGCACAGTTAGGGCTACCGCACATCACCCCGTTTCCCCACACTAACGGCCAGTAACACATTCCTCTCAAGTGTGTCCCAGTTTGGAAGAAGTGGTCACCCTGGTTCGCAGCCAGCGGCCAGGAAAGTAAGGGTCCAGGAACAGTTAGAAATGATGAGCCAGCTGCAGGCCATCTGATCTCTTAGTGGGCAAAAGGCAGAACAAACCGCTAGGCTTTCTGCATGGATAAGGAAACAGAGGGATTCATCTGGAACAGCTATCGAAAACTGGGGGAGTGCCGACTGCGGGGACCCTGGCCCAGCTCACAGGGCAGCTCTGTGAGGACAAAGCTGTCCCCTGCCCCTCCGGTCGGTGTTCGTGTCTTGTTTTCTGGTATGGCGGAAACTTAGGATGGTCTTCCTATTTTTTTTATTGGTTTGAGAGACAGAGAGGGAAATCAATTTGTTGCTCCACTTACATGCATTCTTTTTTAAAGATTTTTTAATTAATTAATTTATTTATTTATAGAAAGAGGGGAGGGGAAAGGAGAGAGAAAGAGAGGGAGAGAAACATCAATGTGTGGTTGCCTTTCATATGTCCCTAGCTGGGGACCCGGCCCGAGACACAGGCATGTGCCCCGACCGGGAATCGAACCAGCAATCCCTTGGTTTATAGGCTGGTGCTCAATCCACTGAGCCACACCAGCCAGGGCCACTAATTTGCATTCTTGATGGACTTTTGTATGTGCCCTGACTGGGGATGGAACCCACAACCTTGGTGTAGTGGGATGAAGCTCTAACCAAATGAGCTACCTGCCAGAGCTGGAATATGCTTTTTTTTTAAAAAAGATTTTATTTATTTATTTTTAGAGAGAAGGGAAGGGAAGGAGAAAGGAAGGGAGAAAAACATCAATGTGTGGTTGCCTCTTGAATGCCCTCTACCAGGGTCCTGGCATGCAACCCAGGCACGTGTCCTATACTGGGAATCGAACCAGCGACCCTTTGGTTCACAGGCTGGCACTCAATCCACTGAGCTATACCAGCCAGGGCTGGAATATGTTCTTTTTAATATAACCATGTCCTACTCATTAAAACCATCTTAACAACCAGTATACAAATCTAATATTTATTACTCTATGGAACTATCTTCTTTAAAATGTGTGTATTTTATAATGTTTTAACCAACATTACCCCAATACATTTAATTTTAAAAACATGTATATTTTGTGCTAAAATGTAGGCTCTGTGAAAACAGGGACTTTGTCCCCTTGGCTGTCATGTGCCTGACACAGGATGGGTGACTGTGTTAATCAACGAAGCCCACTGAAATTAGATAATGCCTGAGCACTATCTGGGTGCCAGGGCAGTTTGGAGCAGAGCGCTTTGCTCTCAATTGACTCGCGGGAGCTCAGCTCACGATAAAGCTACAAGTCCATTGCCGAGAGAGCAAGGAACAGCCTACACGCACAGTTTCCGAGCTAATCACTACTTGCTGAATTGCTGCGGGCCCCCACTAACTCTGCTCTGCGGGAGGTGAGAACCCTGCCTCTGGCGCTGCCAGCGTGTCCACCAAAGCGTGGGAGCAGGGGTGTGTGTGCGGGGGGCGGGGCTTACCTGATGACGGTGGGGTAGAGCTCAGAGGTGTAGATATACGCTACGTTAAAGGCGGCGCTGATGGTCAGCTTCCCCAGCAGAGACAAGGAATGGCTGTTCACCACGGCAAACACACCTGTGCCTGGGGAGCACAAGCGACACCTGTGAGGTCTGAGGTGTGACAGAGCTGTTTTTAATGACTCAGCTATTGGGTTGGCCAAAAAATCTGCTTAGTTTTTTTCCATAAAATAAAAGACATATTTTTCATTTTCACCAATAACTTTATTGATTTGGATATTTTGAGTATGTTGGCTATCTCAAGCATGGTACAATGTTGATTGTTCTCAATTAATGTCTTGATTTGATCGCTATAAGGTTCAACTGGTATAGCCAACTGTGGAGCATCATCCAGTGAGAAATCTCCAGCACAAAACTTTGCAAAAATACTTTTGATGCATTCGATCAATCATGGCACCTTCTTCATACACTGCACAAATCTTTTTATGTGTTTCAGCTGCATTTTAACCTGTCTTGAGGTAATAAAGCATAATATGCCAAAAAGTTGTGTATTTTCTTCCATCTTCAATATTAAAATGGCTACACACAAATTTACCAATTTTGATAAGTTTTTTTTAATGCACGCTGATATGACAGCTGTCCCGACACAACCTAACAAAATTGTTTCACATGAAGTTAAAGACAAGTAAGTGCTATTAGAGCCATCTTACGGGAAAAAACAAATGGACTTTATGGCCAACCTAACAGTTTTGAAGGAGTGAGACATTAATGTGGATCTCACACAGCAAAGAGAGAAGGCCATTCAGAAAGTTTAGTGACCACACACAACACACGTGCAAATACTTCCTCAGTGATTTGGCTATTCCCACGAAATCTTACACGGCCACAGTCATTTTGTGTGACCAAACTTGGACTCACTCCTGAATGACAGAGCTCCCTGAAAACTTCTGCACCGCAGTAAAGTAAGCTTCAGGATAACTGTCAATGTTCATCGACCACAGGTGGTAACTGCGTCTCCTTTTCCCCCAACCCGGTTCAACCATGAAGGACATAAAGACGGTGGTCAGAGTGACAAACTCTGGCCCCTGAGAGGAATTCTATCTTCTAGAGAAGGAGGCAGGGGTGAGGGCAGAAAAACTTCTATCTTCTGTTCGCAGTCCTTGGTGTTCCATTGCAAAAATAAGGAATAGTCCCATTAAATTACTACCAGAAGTTTGGAAACATTAATGATCGTGAAAGATGAGACTTAAATACGAAACCACTTTCAATCCTTCCTCCTCCCCAGCTAATCAACGATATTTGAGTTCCTGAATGTAACATTTTTACATAACATGGAAAAATACATTTTACGTCAGTTCACTTCTCTATGAAAAATACGATCCATTATCCTGTGGTTCTTTCCTTATTAACATTATCCCATCTGAGATCTTACAATTTAATCATTCCCTTTCAAACATATTTAACCTCTCCCCTTCAATCACCCCACTAGCTTCTACCTTCAAAATAATAATTTTCTTCCGAGGAAAAAAAAATCTCATCAACTCAGTTGTACCTCCCCCTTCACTATCGAACATCTCCAAGGAGTGACCAACCTTCCATTTTCCCAAACGTGGCTGCCCTGTCCCTCTGCATGGTCTGGCTCCCAATGCCAGCCTCTCCCAAAATGCCTGCTCTTGAAGGTCAACAGCGATGTCTTAATCATCAAAGTAATTGCCTCTCACTGTCCTTGACATTTCTGCCCAATAGAATACACCTGTCCCCTTCCTCGGGACTGCACGCACGGCTCATACTCATATACACAAACCCTTCTTCCCTTCAATGACTCAAATATGCAACATCCTTTCCTTCCTTTGACCTTCACTGCCCCCGTTTACCAGTCCATTCAACCGGCCTGCTCCAAACACCCTCTAGTTGTTGCTCGCTCTTGCATCCGGTCTGCCCGCAATACATGTCCAGTTAGCTCAGGCCGAGGGAGGCATCGTGTCTGCATCCTGTCCCTCACGGCACCTCCCCTAGTGAGATGCACGGTGATGCTCACTAAACATCGCTGAACAAATACATGGAAGGATAAGGACAGGGATAAATTCAGTGAAAAGAACCTGTGTTCAGTCCCCCTGACTATCTGAGGAGGGAGGCATGTAATACACTCCATTCTACAATATGTTTCCCCTTCCCTGCTTGACAATGAAATAAATCTTCATCTACTTTAAAGATGGCGTCCTGCATTCAGCGGCCCAGGCACTGCCAAACTCGACCATCTGGGGCCTTCTCCTCTTCTGCCAGGCTATTTGGAAGAAGATATGTGCAATTTTAAGTACTGAATATATTATTTGAAGCCATGAGGTGCCTCTGGAAAAGGATTCCTGCCTTTTGGCACTTACCCTGAGATATGTATCTGGACTCTTGATATGTAACCCCTTCAATTAAACCAATAATGAGGGCAAATTAAACCCATCAATTACTTGCCCGAAAACTGAGGGAGTCGGGGAAAGGTGTTGGGTTGGCACTGAAGCAAACAGAAACGTGCACATTTGTCTGATTGCAAATGAACCCCGGGTCTGTTTTCCACCCGCGCAAGATGGCATCTCTCAGAACCGTATGCAGACGCGCCGCATGTTTGACAACAGGTGAGGGGCTGCCATGCTGCAAACTGAATTCAAGTGGCACATCACACAAAGCCCATCATCTAAGCCGCCACAAGATCCAAGGCTGGAAGAAGTCCCCCACGGGAGGCTCGGGACTGTGCAGCCCATCTGGGGAGCCTGGCTCAGCCACGTGCCCACAGCGTCAGCTTAACAGCTCCTCTGACGCCTGAAACTTCCCCTCTCTGTTCCTGCCAGCACAGTCTGCCATGGGTTGCCACTCCAACCTGCGGGAATCCACTTTTTCCCTAGCCCGTCCATGTGCATTTCAGACAGCTCTGATTGTTAGAAAATTATTTCCGATTCCTTTGGGGCTCCTGCCTGTGCCGCTGCTGGGCTGCTGGGCCTCCTAAGTTAATGTGTAGGAAGGCTTTGCAGCCACTGGGCTGGTTCCATGGATTCCTGACCTCGGTTCTTCATCTAAAAATGAAACAGATATTATTGGCTACTGCCAATGAATGTTCAGAGAGACTGTTTGATATGAGAATGATTTGAAAGGGGAAATTTAACTCTATTATCTTTGAGGGAAAAAGGGGGAATTCTCCAAACACGTGGCTCCTTCAAAGTACTGAATTCAAGAGGTTAAATTTTATTCCAATAATGCAGCTATGTTTTCAGAACTAACTATCTGAAAGTTTTCTCAGAGCCATCTGGAGTCGCCAGGACAGAGGGTCTCAGTATATCATAGTCAAATGTAGCTAACCTCAAATAGTAAAAATCCATCTTACTCGTCCACTTCACTCACTCGGTGATGATAGCAGATTTATTACTGTTTCTGCACATGTATAAAGTCTCTAAGGCAGCTGTAGGCCCTCTACTTTGGTACATAGGTTGGGCATAGAACCTCAATTCATTCTGTTTGCTTCTGGCCTTTTTTTCTTTTAAAGAAAAGCACCATTTTTGCACACAGTTCTTGTCACTAGAGTTTTGCCCTCGTGAGAATTTCACATGAATGAAGTAACTTTTGTGTCTGGTTTCTTTTAGTTAGCACATGCTCCTGAAATTTATCCCTGTTGTCATTCATTCCTTTTTGTTTTCTTTTTGGTTGAGTAATATTTCATTGTATGGATATACTACAACTTGTTTATCATTCCCTAGTGGATGGACATCTGGGTTCCTTTCAGTTTCAGGCTATTATTCATAGAGCTACTATGAACATGTACATCGAAATCTGTGTGGATCTATTTTCTGCTTTCCTTGGGTAAAGTTGAGTCATACGGCCAGTGTGTGTTTCATTTTAAAGTAAGCTGCTAACAGTTTCTAGAGTTTCGGTGTCATTTTGCATTTCCATCAGAAGTATACAAGGTCTGTCAGGAAAAAGTCCAGCCATTGTTACTATAATGAGAACGGTTTGCATGACATCAATGTAACCTGGCAGCCAAGGAGAGTGGACTGGAATGCACATGTGTGAACAATGACAACTTCATTGTACTAGTCAGTGGGACGGTAGACACGGTTGAGTGAATGCACTGTGTAACCATAGCATTCAAAATGACTCAGCAACAGTCATGTGGTCTCATGAATTAAGAGTTTTACTTCTTTCTTTCCAATTTGAATTCCTTTAATTTCTTTTTATCACCTTTTGTATTTGCTAGTAACTTCAGTTCAATGCACCATAGAAGTGGTAGGCTGGCATCGTAGCTTTGTTCCCGATCTTAGGGAGCAAAGTACTTATTTTTTCACCATTCAATTTGGTGCTGGCTATAGGTTTTGCCTCGATGCCCTTTATCAGATTAAGGAAACTTCCAGTTGCTGATAGTTTTTGTAGTGAGTGTGTGTGGAGTTATGACAAATGCTTTTTCTAAATATAATGAAAAGATCGTGTGATTTTTCCCCTTTTTTTAAGATTTTCATTTATTTCTTTTTAGAGAGAGGGGAAGGGAAGGCAACAGAGAGAGAAACATCAATGTGTGGTTGCTTCTCGTGCGCCCCCTCCTGGTGACTTGGCCTGCAACCCAGGTATGTTTCCTGATTGGGAATCAAACACTGACAGCCCTTTGGTTCGCAGGCCCTCGCTTAATCCACTGAGCTACACCAGACAGGCCCTTTCTTTTCTTTTTTTTTTTTAATATGGTGAATGACACTGAGTAACTTTTGAATGTTAAATCAACCTTGCATCTGTGAGATAAACCCTGCTTAGTCATGATTATTACCCTTCTATGCATTGCTGGGTTCAATTTGCTAATATTTAGTTAAGGATTTTTGTATCTATATTAATAAGGGTTATCGGTCTGCAGTTTTCTCGTAATGTCTTTGGTTTTAGTATCAGGATAAGTGCTGGTCTCCCAGACTAGGTTGGGGAAGTAGTCCCTCCTTTTTCATGTTCTGGAAGAATGTGAAGAACTGGTATTCCCATGTGTTTCACAGAATTTACCGGTGAAGCCATCTGGACCTGGAATTCTCTTTGTGAGAATGTTTTTTAACTCTAAATTCAATTTCTTTAATAGGTCCAGGGCTACCCAGGTTATCTATGTTTTTAAGT